TTGTTGATGAGCGTGTAGCTCCATCCTTCATGTCTGCTCGCAGCCGCAGAAGTTGATTTTTGACACTGAATGTTGCCAACAAACTCTTCTTTCTTCCAAACTCTCCCTCTTTCTTTCTTTCCTTCTTTCGGTCTTTTCTTTTTTCGCGTAGAACCTCAACATAGTCCTTAACCTTTTGTTCTGTTCGTTTGAAAAGGTGATCCGGCGAAACGCTTCAAGGACGCCAACTCTACATTCACTTTCCGGCATGCGGTCCTTATGTTGAGCTGAATGGTCCACAGCTGGCACCAGCGTGCTCATTCTCCGATCAAAAGTGACAGGAGTGTGCTGTAGAGGGGGGGGGGGGGGAGGGTGGGAATACTTGTGCCGCTTCGCGCCCGCCCGCGCTGCCGCAGCCAGCCACACGCGTAACCATGTCAAGCGAAGCTGCATGTCTGCGCCCTTCTGACGCTTGACGTGCGTGTGTGTTTCGCTGCGTGATTTTGGTATCGACGCAAAAGGTGCCACAAAACTTTCGAGACAACGCGCGCTCAGCTGCAAAATGCATCCTTAGCATGTGCTGAGCTAACAGGAAGACGGGCAAGGAAATGGAAATTTGCGCTCCGTTGTGCGGCGATGGCGATGCGGCGTTTATTTTCTTAATCGTGTGTCCTGTCGATAGAGCAGCGGTTTTCACGTGGGATCGAAACTGTAGACTACGTTCGGTTCTACATTGCCTGTTGTCGCCATCTACGACCTGGAACCATCGTCATTGCAAGGACGCGACGTCGCACGCGACGCCCATCAACGCGGCGAATTACGATTCTCTCGTCACCTATCCACCCGGGTTAAAAGCTTGGTTAGAGGCTCCCACCTGTCGAAAACTTAGCGCTTTTCCCGTCCGAACATGCGCGGGGATGTGGATCCAGGACCGTGGGATAGACTAAACCAATCTATATAGCGGTTTCGGAGGCACTGCATGGTCTCTCTCCACTCTCGATTGTTAACTCCTCCCCGGAATGCGCTGCATACATTAGTTCCATTAGTAGTTAATGTCCGGATCGAAAGCCTTGTTTGGTTTACGCCTTCGAGCTGAACAACGACATAAAAAGCTCGACATACGCAATCTTAAAGCTTTTTCCTACTTTAAAGACACAATTGTACGATCACACGATTAGTTTGAGTGGGTGGTGAACTTATCGCCCCCCCCCCCTCCAGCTGTCGAAGCGTAGCGGTTTCCCCGTCCAAACATGCGCAGGAATGGAGATACAGGACCGCTGAAACACGCTGATTCCTCCATGCTCCGCCCAATGCCTTTTGCGGCGCAGACTCCCGTTTGTGCTAACAGCCGTCCACGCAGCGCGCGTGTCGCGCCCAGCGCCATTGTTACTTTGCAAGGGCCTGTAATTGCGCTTTGGCAGTATATACATGAAAGCGCGAATTTGCATTTCCTTAGTTTTTTCAATTTTGTTTTTTTACATCTACATTCGTTGTTCTTCATTTCTAGCCTTTGTCATCTTCATCACCTTCTATTCGGACTTTGCAGCATGAGCAACACCTCAAATGTTATCCGCATCAGAAAAATTGCGCTTTACTTGTATCTTGAAAGCGCAATTACAGGACTTGGCAAAGTGCCAAGAGCGCTGCGCGCGACACGCGCCGCGCGGACGGCTGTTAGCATAAACGGGAGTCTGCGCCGCAAAAGGCATTGGGCGGAGCATGGAGGAATTAGCGTGTTTCACGGTCCTGTATCTCCATTCCTGCGCATGTTAGGACGGGGAAACCGCTACGCTTCGACAGCTGGGGGCTGATAGTCACGCCTACCCAAACTATATGTGATCGTACCATGTGTCTTCAAACAAGTCCTTGCGTAAACCAGTCGGGAAAATGGATTGCTTCTGCACTTGGTCCTCGGCCCGTGCTAGTAGCAGAACTTTTCATCGCCTCATCTCTGCCCTTACATATTTTTATGTTTTTCTGAATACGTAGTCCGCATTTACTTTGTTGTATGATGAAAGCTCTTGGTAGAGGGGACCATATAGGTTGCCGTTGCGGGAAAAGCTAGCCTAGGAAGTTCGCGTTATGACGCAGTTATCGAAACACCGCCACACGAACAGTTCCGCCTTCCAATAAGTAAGTCAATTACCAATGAAGCTCAGAGACTAATTGCGATAACAGGAGATGATATACCAGAGAGAAGGAGATGATATCATTTATTGCATAAATAAGCGAGAGCTTGGCCAAACTCGCAATCTTATCGCTGTGCGCTAGTACAAAAGTCAATATTACAGAGATCTTGTTCAGGGCATTTCTACTGCTCTTGCTGCATTTCCCTCACTGCCTAGTCACTTAGCAGCTCCACATTCCTTTACCCACGATAACGTACTGTTCCCAGAGGTCAAACTAGTAAACAGTTGCTCTCTTTGACTAGTCTGTCCAAACATGGGTAGATTATAATCGTGGGTAGTTTGTAATTGCAACCGTGTGACTGTTTGCCAGAATACCAGGACCATAGCTGTATCGAATACTTTCTGTTATGTGGGTTTTCGAAATTTTGCAGTGCATATACTCTTTTTAAAAATCATTACCAACTAAAAAAATAATCGATTTGGTTTGGTCTTCGCATAGGGTTGTTTTTGGCAACGTTTTATAATGCATATGTATGAGGCAGTTCGCGCATGATGCCTGCTTCCTTCTATTGTTTTGTCTTCCGTCTAATTCAGTCAACGGAGGATGATTTGTCCAACTTTCTGTGGCTTTTGGTCAGATTTCACGCACAAGCATGTACAGTCTTTCGATCCCTCCTTATGAGTACCTTGTGACATTGGACTACAGTTGAAATCGGATGCTTTTCACTGAGTTTCTCATATAAAGGTTAAGGCTCTGTGAGTAAAGAAGTGGCACATACAGCCTTGCTTTAGCAAGGTTGTATTTCACAGGGCCTCACCGTTAACAGAGGATTTGAGCGGAAAAAAGACGTTCAAGTTCAATTGTAGCTTGGTAAAGATTACAAGAAGTGATCTTTGACTTTCTCAAGGATGTTGTTGTATCGATAGTAAATCTTTTTGCAAGCCACGTGAACTTCGCCTCATTCCTATGCCCAATGAAGCCCTCCATATGAGGCGTTTTCTGTTGGCGTTTCAATCTCCTTGGAGACACTCGTGTGGATGTGGCACTTCAATGCAGCCTACAACGGAAGCTGTGATTATTGTGATCATTTATTTTTCTGAAATACCTGCGGTCGCTCTCAGGGATTTTTTTTTCTTACGCAGTAGCGATTTTCATAGTCCCGCAAATTATAACATTATGAAACTAATATCACGAAGGACACTTGGGTTTTTTTGTATTGCTTTACAAAAATGCTGGTGATAAGGGCACATGGAAATCATGTGCGAGGTTTTTCCACAGAAATTTAAAGATTCCAAGAAAATGAGATTTGAAGGACCACACGTTATGGCAGCGCAGATCATTAGTTGGGAATTTTTTGGTCGAGTCCGTAGACCTCCTCTTTTTTCAGCTGGTTGGACGACCCCCATTCTTTCCCTCCTCATCGAGCTGTCGAGCGGGAAGGGGGATGCAACTCCCACCCCCATTCTCTACAATTTGTTTCTTGGATTTTCCCCAACACCAGTTACCTACCACTTCTTCAGGAACTACCGAGATTTTTCCTTCTTTTACCCTAAAATTTTGCTGCCGAGCGGATAGAGGGGGGGGGGTAGGGGCAAGGCGGGGGAGGGGTAGATAGCACACATGAAACAGGAAAAACCATAAAAAGTCGGCAACCTCTCCCAGAAGGAAAATATGACCCCCTCTTCCTGCGACCAAATACGACTCCCCCTGTTATGGAATACTCAACAACGATGTGCCCTGCGTCATGGGCTGTTCATGGCCATGGATGCAGGGTTAGAGAGCGCCTGACCAATGTAACCACGTGCCAACTGATGCGCTTTAGAGGGAAAATCAAGATATAAAGTGTGAATCCAACGCCGGAGGGTGTTTGCGTGGCGATGCGATGATCACACGTGGTTCTACGTGGCGAAAGAGAAAAAAATTTTGCATCATCTCCAAGAACAGGCGGGGATCATCAACAATGTTTTCGGTTTTTTTTAATTTTGACTACAAGTACGCCTTTTTGCGGTTTTGCAAACTACCATGACTAGGGTTCGACATGTGGATGGGATGGAGTGGCACGCATTTTCTTCTCCTTTTCTCAACGACTGCTTTTATCGTTTTGCTGTCTCCGAAGACACCATTCATGATTAATCTGAAGTGTAGAATCCCCTCCTTGTGCGGAGTGGCACAGTCGCAGAGGATTAGCCACTGTAAATACTCTGCTTGATAAGGAAGCCAGCAATTAGACACTATTGCCGAGCTCTACCCATACAAGTTAAGCTCCTTCCTAATTGCCTTTAACAATCGCTTTATGGGTATGATCTTGCTGTATGTGTATTCTATCGCCGTTTCGTCGTCTGTTTCTCTTTTGTGCGCTCAGTTGCTTAAACAACCGCGGGTCTTGCTTAGGGTTGTCACAAGAATGCTGGGTTACGGGCAAAAGTCTCGAACCCAGGCGGAGGTAGGGCTTGCTCCTCACGCTTTCGGCTGACCGACTCACCGTGCTCATGGTACGAGTGCCGTAAGGCCACGCTGTAAAAGCCGTCAAGCTGAGACGGCAAGTGGCGGCCTCGGCAGGGTAAGGGATAGCGCACTCGCCCGGAAAGAGCGAGATGAAAGTTCAAGTCCCGCATGGGGTAAAGACTTTTTCCCATAACTCAACATTCTTGCGGTGACTTTTGGATAGCGCACTGCGGCTTGAACAGTAGTCATCATAATAAAACAGCGCATTTAGATGTTTTCAACGCTTCCGTTTGAGTTCTCCTTTTCGGACAACTTAATCCCCCATACTCTTTCGTTGTATCCCCGTACCCACGACTTACCATTGTGGACGTATATTAGAGATACATTAGACTTCCGATCATTTTGAAGTTTATATCTTGGTGTCGATTTCAGAAGTTGAGCTTGAGATGACCGCTACTCGAATATCAGACAGTGACAGAAAGCTGATCGATGAACTAAAATCGAAAATCCAAGCTGAACTCGAACTTGTGCCATCGTACTCCGATGACCTGTCATTAATGCGTTGGCTGGTTGGATGGGATCGAAAAGTGGGTGAGTTGCAGTGCCATCAATTGAGGTTACGGTACTTGTGGAAATCCTTGTTGTTTTTACAGATGTGGTAGTGCCAAAGATTAAGTTTTCTTTGAGGGCTATTCATGCCCTCGGACTTGACAAAGAGGATCTCTCAACACTTGACAAGGTCACCGCAAAGTGCGACGAGTGTAGTAAACCTTTACAGTACTTACCTGGTGAGTCGATCATTGACACTCTGAAAGGGAATTACTCATCTCTGCTTTTGCAGGATCTCTGCTTGGTTTTGACAAGGAGGGAAATGTGATCTCACTGCAGATGATCGGTCGCTTAGATGTGGCCGGTCTCATGCCCTGCACACGTAACTCTGATCTCTATCGAATGCGAATTGCTGAAAGCGAAGGTGTCATGCAAATCATAAGGTTTGGATAAGTTTCAATTAGAGAAACAAGCCTCTGCTGACATCACAGAGCTTCTATGGATGCTCTGGCTATCTAGGGGGCTTTTGTAAGACTGTTTTTCCGCAACTCGAGCCGTGGAAAAAGCTCTGAGGGTGGGT